GTGCACATGTAACGCCTTTTATCAATAACGCAAATATCCTAAAGATGGACCTCCGCAGACGACTACACTTCGCCTCACTTTTATTTGGAACTATTAGAAACAAAGAGCTGTTATATCTTTACAATAAGTTGATTTGGACTAAAGATCAAAATGAGATGTATAATACGAGATCATCTAATTATAATTTATATATAAGACACTCATTTTCTTACCTTTATCATGTGGCCAACGCGCAACGAGGTCTGTCTCGCATTTTACGTTTCAAATTTAGTCACGTGTCCACTGATCGATCGGTAAATGTCACAGTGCCACAGAGTAGGGATTTATATTGGTAACCTAAAACCAAAATGGAAGGACACCAATATCAAAAAAGAAAACATTAGTTCTAAACAAAATGATATCCATTCTATATAATTGAAAGGTTAAAACAAAAATAATTTAATAATCGCTATACTGCGTTGTAGGTATGTATTACAAGTGCACTGACGCAGCCGTCCGAGTTGTCTCGAAGTGCGGGCGGACTGAAAACCGGCGTCGGGATCAGAACGAATCTTAGTTATTGTATCTCGACTTTTACCGAGTCCCGTCCGTTTCACGGTCTTATGCTGCTACACAGACCTTCACTTATTATTATTATTTTTAGTTTTTTTGTTATGTTTACATTTATTTTAAGTTATTCTAATATTATTTTACATAATGTGTAGTTACATTATTATTTTTAAGTGTTCTATGTATCTATTGTGCTTAGACCGTGAATAAACGTTTCTTCTTCTTATTCTTCTAAATAATTAATAAAGACAGTCACGTGTGTACGCGAATACGGACTGTTCAATTATTCATAGATGGTCTTATTGAAAATCCCGAATGAAACTTTTTCCTGTTATTAATTTAAAACTTTTTAACATACATAACATTTTACTCGCATATAATATAAAACGATCCATCAGAAGAGACGTAATGCGTTTATAATACCTTTACCAATAGTCGTTTCGATTATTCAGAATAGCGGGGTAGAGCAATGTTATATTAATTGTGTCAAAGGCACGGGAAAAGTCTAGTAACACTAACAAAGTGCCCTTCCCAGCGTCTTGTGCTGTTAAGATATCGTCCACTACATCAATCAATGTTGTAGCAGTACTATGGGATTTCCTGAAACCTGATTGTTTTGCTGGCAATATCTTATATTCAGAATACATTGTATTCTGTGACATTATAATAGGCCCTTTTCACGAGGGAGTATACTTTTCACAAAATGTAATTGTTTGCAGTTGTTTTTAGGTTTTGTGGATAACACCAGTGTTCCATCACGACAATGTGAGACAACTTGCCAACAGTTTTTAAAGCTTGCATGGTATGTATTACTATAGTAACTGATATAACTAATGTAGTAACAGATATGAGACCTTTAACTAAATTACAAGGTTTCTTATTTTTTGTCATTTGAATAAGAGGCTGTAGAATAATGGCTAGTATGCATAACGTTCCTATATAAAAGGAATTCCCCGCTATTCTGAATAATCGAATCGACTATTGGGTAAAGGTATTATAAACGCATTACGTCTCTTCTGATGGATCGTTTTATATTATATGCGAGTAAAATGTTATGTATGTTAAAAAGTTTTAAATTAATAACAGGAAAAAGTTTCATTCGGGATTTTCAATAAGACCATCTATGAATAATTGAACAGTCCGTATTCGAGTACACACGTGGCTGTCTTTATTAATTATTTAAGTGATTACGTTACTCCGTACAAACATTCACTTGCTAAACTCATATTATCCGGAAAGAAACTTAAAAGAAAGTAAATTAAATACATTTTCAACGACATATGATTAGTCAACTTATCCTAGTTTGTAATACGCATCTCAATACGCAAGCCCATTTCTTCGGTTTTCAGTAATTTCTTAAGACCTACATATGCCTTTGAATATCTACAACAATAAAACATTTGAGTATAACATTTCTCTTACATCAATACAAACACTGTAAATCTAGCGTAAAACTTAGTTTATCTAGCGCCCTACTTTTGAGTAGCTAGCGGTTATATAGCGTATATGGTATTTGCGTATTAATATTGAATTAATACGTGAAATCTTTAAGAAAGCAACAAGGAATGCCCGAGGAGAGAATATAGTCTATACGTAACACGATAACTGCAAAAGAGCAATAATTACTGATCTTATGATATGGATCACGAATCTTACTTCTTGGACATCTGGACCACCCGTAGAGTTGCAGATGCGTAGTCACCATTTAATAAAGCGATCCCACCGATTACCTCTCTCAGCAGAATAAACGCAGTGGTATGACACTTCCACTTCACGCTGGTCTTCTGTGCGGCCATGCTACTTCATCGGAGCCTACCCATTATGCGTTAAACAAAAGCTTCTGCATGTCTCAACCACAAGAAATGTAAACAGTTTTCGTTATTATAATAAAGAGTAAATCTGCATGAGTTGGCATGGTGGGCTATGCTTTACCCAGAATTTGGATATGTATAGGCTATTAATTTACTTTATATGCATTCTAAAAATGGAGCAGATTATTATTTTTTTTTTCAAATTGAATTGAGTTATTTTTAGTTTCTACAACCTGAAATAACGCAATTTAATTTAACCTTCTTCGATTAACCGTAGATTAATTTAACTTGCCGTGCTTCTTTTAAAATCGCAAAAGTTAAGCTTTTCTCCGTTCGCATGATCGCAAAACTTTTAAGACCGCTTTGCATTTGATCTTTGAAAAGTTATTAACTCGCCCTAAGCTTTTGAGAAGGTATCGGATAAATCTATACTCTGGGAAATAGAAACGATAATTGATTTTAAAAGAACTTAGTGACCAGTATGTCGCATGACGAGTATGTCATCTCTCGTCAGAGGCCTCAACATTCTCATGACGACACTCACCACTTTCGAAGAAAGTGGAACACGCTCACGACGTCCACTCGCCTCATCGAAACATATGTAGACCCACACCTTTGAATATTTTCTCTCGTCAGAGGCCTCAACATTCGCATGACGACACTCACCACTTACGAAGAAAGTGGAACCCGCTCACGACGTCCACTCGCCTCATCGAAACATATGTAGACCCACGCGTTTGAATATTTTTCTCTCTCACGAGAGGCCTCAACATTCGCATGACGACACTCACCACTTACGAAGAAAGTGGAACCCGCTCACGACGTCCACTCGCCTCATCGAAACATATGTAGACCCACACCTTTGAATATTTTCTCTCGTCAGAGGCCTCAACATTCGCATGACGACACTCACCACTTACGAAGAAAGTGGAACCCGCTCACGACGTCCACTCGCCTCATCGAAACATATGTAGACCCACGCGTTTGAATATTTTCTCTCGTCAGAGGCCTCAACATTCGCATGACGACATTCACCACTTTCGAATAAAGCTGATAAAGGTATCGGATAAATCTATACTCTGGGAAATTGAAACGATAATTGATTTTAAAAGAACTTAGTGACCAGTATGTCGCATGACGAGTATGTCATCTCTCGTCAGAGGCCTCAACATTCTCATGACGACACTCACCACTTTCGAAGAAAGAAAGTGGAACACGCTCACGACGTCCACTCGCCTCATCGAAACATATGTAGACCCACACGTTTGAATATTTTCTCTCGTCAGAGGCCTCAACATTCGCATGACGACATTCACCACTTTCGAATAAAGCTGAAAACGCATTTGGTGCCCACTCCCACAATGCGTGCCGATGAAGTGTATTGAACATCCCAGCTCACCAATACAAGCTTAGAAAGCGATATTTTCTTGCAGTAAATGCCACCAAACCACGATGGCATTGCTATCGGTGTGGAGCTCCGTAAGCAACTGAGGATCGAATATCGCTAAAACTGGTTCATTAGTTAAACAGTGGGTTACATAATCACTAGCAGTATCCTGCTCAGCACGAAAATTTTGCTATGCATGTGATCTTAGAAGTATAGCCAGAGATATAACCGCGAAAATACCCGCTAACCCCAAGAACTGCACTGGGTTTTGGGGACCTCACAAAAGCTTCAACATTCACCGGGCTCGGCCGTACCTGACCATACCCTATAAGTCTCTACACCACCCTAAGGTTGACTGGTAGAAATTGCCATTGGCATTGAGTCCGACTTTGTACTAGTTTGTGCATAAAGTCAAAAGTAGATAAAAATAAAATAAACCATAAGTCAAACTTACATATTCATACCACGCCTGAGACGCTATTAGCTTTGCCAATGTAGCCATCATCCTTCATGGAAACCTGGTGTAAAGCAACCAACAAAATAAAACCCTTCAACATGGTCATCGACCATCATCATTTCAGCCCGTTTGAGTCTACTGCTAAACATAGGCCTCCTCCATAGAAGTACGATCCTGAGCCACCTGCATCCCGCATATACTTCCCGCTTTACACACGTCGTCAAAACATTTTAGTGGGGTTTCCTCCTATACTGTGATGACCAATACGAGGTTATCAGTTCTACGAGCTATATGGCCGGCCCATCGCCACTTCAGATTACCACGCATTGAACCATTGACGTCACTCCTATTAAACAGACAGAAACAGAGAGATAATCATCACGAGTTCTACACCGTTTTTGCCAATTATCACTTCTGATCTTGGAAATAGAAACGATAATTGATTTTTTAAAAAGAACTTAGTGGCCAGTTAGCTACACCACGTAGAGTTTAATTACAGTTCTAAGTAACCGACACGATCGTTATCAATTCGGGTACAGCTTCTGCACTCTTCAACGGCTGACGAGAAAGTCCCCCGAAGAGGGCGAGCGCTGTTACTTATACAGACCGTTGCAGTGTGCTTCTACCCTCCTATCTTCCAACAATACAATATGTACAAAAAACATTTGTATTAAAGTATAAATTATCCGGTGAATACCTACCACTTTTAAACAAAAAGAATGTATTTATGCGTGGCTGGGGGTGGTGAGATCAGCGCTGGTGTAGCTTGTTTATTCGTTTTAATGATATTAAAGACATGAAAGACATGAAAGACGTGAAAGACATAAAAGACATGAAAGACGTGAAAGACATGAAAGACATGGAAGACATGGAAGACATGAAAGACACGGGAGACACGGGAGACACGGGAGACTCGGGAGACTCGGGAGACACGGAAGACACGGAAGACACGGAAGACACGGAAGACACGGAAGACACGGAAGACACGGAAGACACGGAAGACACGGAAGACACGGAAGACACGGAAGACACGGAAGACACGGAAGACACGGAAGACACGGAAGACACGGAAGACACGGAAGACACGGAAGACACGGAAGACACGGAAGACACGGAAGACACGGAAGACACGGAAGACACGAAAGACACGAAAGACACGAAAGACACGAAAGACACGAAAGACACGAAAGACACGAAAGACATTGAAAACATGAAAGACAAGAAAGACAAGACATTGAAGACATTTATTCCGTCACCTTACAATAATGGTACAAAGCTTAACAATAAAATAACAAAAATGAAAACAGAAAAAAAAATGTATATACACATATAGGAAGAGCCCGGCCCCAGGCGTCCGTAGGTATCGGACGGGGAACATAAGGCGAGTAGGCTAACTTTCACATTTTGATTAGTAGTGCACACGAGTGTTATTATAGATAATATTAACTACATTATGTATATACAAATAAATATAACACGACATAGAATGGGACACGAGAAAATAAGAATAATAATATTTTACAATAAATCCCGTAAGTTCACAATTAATACGATTAATATTAGTTATACCTTATTAAATTAATATACCAGTTATAATTAGAATATAACCTTCTAAAATTGTTTGTTGTATTTTTAGATCACAGGTAAATTATTCCAGAAATTATTCCAGGGTAGCTGCATATTTATACCTTCCGTTAAAGGCTGTTGAACTATTTCGAGGAACTCTTAGCTTAAACGAAGAACACTGAGTTAGATATTTATTATGCTTCCGACACCAATCAAGTTTATAATATAGATACTCAGGTTTTTTTTTTGTTTTAATAACGTCGATAAGAACACAAGCAAAGAGAAGTTTGCGCCTGGAAGACATTTTAAGCATATTATTATTATCGAGGTAACGTTTCCTTTGTGATAAAAATTTATGATTAATTTTATTTTGAGTGCGTTCAAACTTAAACATAATTTTCGATGGTATGGAATATGTTTTTGCGTCTTTCGGGTAAGTTGTCTATATACTCTATTACGATATTTTTTTAATTTAATTAAATTCGTAGGTTGTTTTAAAACAAATGAGAGACGAAGAAATGCCGCCCTCGCCCACTTATATATATTTTTACCTTTATCTAATTTCAGCTAACAGATGTCCACTAATTGATTGATATTTGGAGAAAGCCTACATAAGCTTTCGGGATATATTGCATCCATCGCTGTTTTTTTTTTGCACGAAAAAATAAAAGGAACTTTTATAGTCTGAAATAGTAACGTTGGCGTTTCAAACGGGAAAGTGGAAGAATTACAGTTTAAATTAGGTTAACAAATTCTGTAAATATGACAGTTTAAACTCTAAATCTTACACTCAAACTCTTTAAAACTCATAGTTTTACAGAAATGTAAAATTTACTATGTGACAATGTAATTTTTCTACTTTGGCATTCAAGCCCCGGTTAAGTTACTATTAATTTATTTCAAACTATAAGCGTTTTTGTTTTTTTTCCGTGTGTATTTAGTCAACTTATTTATAGATATATAGACATAGACGTGTAGGATATCTTTTTTTTTTAAAAAATACACTGCCCCCATTTTAGGATAATATTATCCTGTTGTTGTAAGGACGTTTTACAAACATAAATTTCACATGGACAATTATATTTTATACAAGCACAGGATATAAAATAAAAATATGCATAATAAAAATGAATTGCATTTGTGAATTGAAATTACAATTTTACTCTTCGAGCTTTTTGTTCAGCAAATAAAACTATGACCTGGTCATAATTTAACTAGTATACAATTCGATTTTCTATAGCTAAGATTGGAAGACTCGAGAAGCGTTCCTGGCTCATAGTAGATCGCAAATAATTCTTGATTAGTTTTAGTTGCTAAAACTAAAACTTTAATATGTATTGTCTTATTAAAATAACAATGATATTTGAAACAATGACAATTCAATTTTTAATATTTATAACAATTAACTTCAAGCAATATTGGCAAATTTCCAATTATTACTGACACTAAAAATACCTTTGATACACAATGATATTTATAGGAAAACATGGCTGGTTTCGGTTAATACTTGTTTGTTTCTTTAAGGAAAAATTACCTAATAAGATACTACGGAGGAGATAAAATAAGGCAGACTCTCCTCATTTTGTATAAATTATTCGCGACGGGTCTCTTCTGCTCAGAGCTATTTAGATAAGACATGACAAATACAAACAATAAGTCGTAGTGGAATTCATTTTTCTTTTCATACTTGTTTTGTTTAAATTGTTACTAAATACATAAAGATATCTACCGAATTCATTAGCCCAATCGAGCTAAACTAATCATGCCAATTTGAGCAAATCCAAATCAACAAAATTATGGAAGTGTAATGCAATTTCTGTAAAAAAATTTCTTCTAGGAAATGTAATTTCCTACTCGTCTTATTATTAACTAATGGCCGCCCGTAATTGACTTCTCAGCAAACACTTGGCGGTATAACTTAGTTTCTCACGTTTTATGAATTCCAATTCATGGTTGCACAATCACTTTATTACCCCCGTCTGACTTCTTAGAATCGACCGGCAACTGTCCCTGCCCAATCAACGTGGGAACGAAGATATTGAAGAAAAAACCTAGAAAAAAAGAAGTGTGAAAAAGAGAGAAGAAACATTACAGAGGATTGAAGAAAAGTTTATCAGTAGTGTAGAGTAGTTTTGTGCTCATAGGCAAGTTTTGTTCGTAAGTAGACATACTTATCGCCACGGAGGTGGCATTGTTGTTTTTCTTAACTATGTGCTTGTTGCATTAGGCCACAGCTAGTTTATACACCGTCGGCAGAGCCCTAAGACCCAAAGGCAACGAGTTAGTTTTGGAGTCCGGAATGGGACTCTTCATCCGGAGATTTTTCCCAGAAATCCGGGAAAACCATAATGAACTAGAGGCCGTGCGCAATCCGAAGCTCTCAACGTCGATCGCTTTCGACAAACAATCCCATAGACTCCTCAACGGCTTCCACGCAGGGCAAACCGGCCTCTTCCCTTGGTGTCGTACACGACTCGGAATCGGATGACGGCTTTGACATGATAGTCAAGCCAACTCTACCTTCCCAAGCCAATGAAGATGGCTTCACCGTTATTACGGCCAAACGAAAAAAAGTACAATAAACGCCCCCGACCGACAGCGACCCCAATAACTCGGCCGCAACTATCTACCACCCATCCACGATGCCCATCAAAAGGTAGCCTCGTGATCCGCCGGTAATACTAACGGTGATTTAGCGCAAGGCTACAAAGCAAAATCACTGCCAACGATACGAGTAAACCATTAATGACAAGGTAAAGTGGAACCAAATGAGCTTCTGGCCCAAGAGGAAAAACCTGGGCGAATTTAGGCCGCGAAACACATATCAAGGTATCCGTGTATACCTTGCCACTAAATACCTCCGCGATCAAACCTAATTTATACCGGAAGATTGTCAACTCCGAGTAGTAGTACTACGAGGCAACCTGAAACGGTTGGATGTTGGTGAAGTCCCATTCGATCTCAGGTGTACCCCGTTTATAGCGTCTGACGGCTTCACCACCAACAAAACCGTGCCCCAATAGACTTGGTTATCTATTTTATTTATTTATTTGCCATGGTCCGGTGCATCTTACGCACCGGACAAACGAATAGTTAAACACAGTCAGTCGGCTATTGGATTCACGGTCCATACCGAATCTCAATGGCCCGTAGGTGACATTCCTCTCTCAAATAACTTACGCACATGCGAAGCCCTACCCACCGAGGAGGGCCGTTTCATATTCGTAGGTTCTTTCTAGCCCTCGAGAGATTGAATTTGAATTAATCCTAATTTAGGGCTCCACTCTTATACACACGTGTAAATAGGATTCTGTATTGAAAAAAAAATTACGTATTTAAAACGTTTAATTCAGAATCGTGGTGCTCATCATAATTCATTAAACATCATGCTATCAAAAGGTTTTTCAGATGAAACCTATTAATATGCGTTATTATCTAAAACCCATCAATATTAGATTTTTCGGTTTGAGTATTATATTAAGGTATGTTATTACTACACTATACTTTGAAGAATTGAAAGCATAAAATCTTTAGAATTCCTACCAGAATTTCTTCCGCCCGATCGCATAACCATCTAAGGTTTTGTGAATCACATTTCAGTGACATGTGACTGAGCAGGTGATATGGGATTTTGTTCCTCGTCGCATTTTTTTAAGAATCTTCTGTATTCTATATTTCACTGTAAAAAAATTACCATAGTGAAAACATTTTTGAGTATAGAGTAAGATTTTCTACCCATAGCTTTTATTTTGGGAGATTTGCATAATATTTAATGAAAACGTAATTAAAGACCCTTCTGTATTATTAACATGGTGTCGTGGTTTAAAAATTATAACTGTGACATATAAAAATTTAATAATTGCTTATGATATCCGTTCCTAAAGTTTTAATTCAATGGGTCTTTACCAGTTAACGCTAATAAAACATGGAAGCCACGTTCGTTCATGCAAGTCATTGTTAATAAATAGCACCACAACTCACACTGACAGCTATCACGCGCCGTCAAACAATGTCCGTCCTAGGTTCATCTAATCCATCTTTACTTGCGTTTACTGGTTCTTACTAATTTTTATTCCCGTTTTCAAAAAAAAAAAAAGACAAAAAGTAAGGCAGAAGATTTGTGACACAAACAAACATATATTATGTAATAAATATTCCAAGTGTTTAGAAAGTTTAGATTTTACGTTAATCTATTATTTTTTATTTAATACCTACCGGCGGGCCTGTTATGTAAAACTGGCTTGCGATAGCCGCTGCTGGTGTCAGTGACCCAATCATCTACGACAGGGATAGATTCGCTGGGGCCGAGGAACGTTGGTGTTGCGTTTTTCCATTATTCCTCGACGATTCAACGGCGCTCCACCATATGATGTAGAGACGATGAGGCCAAGGAGAAAGAGGAGCGGTACTCCTCTGTGTAATCGTAATACCGGTGTATTACAATACATCGTTCTCACTTTTCACGGCCAAATCATGTTGAGGTTTGAAACTACATATGTGTGTAGTTTCACACAAACCCCACCGATGGTAATGGGTTTCCAACCATACTTTACACTAACGCATTTTAATTTTTTGTTTGGTTTTTTCAATTTATTAAAGATTGAAAAAAGCATATTTTCAAATACTTAATAAATGAAACACAATGTTTGTATGTATCTATATGGATAACTTTTCTCAATAATTTCTATCGGTCCCTATATATGCTTATATCTTTAAAACTACACAACGGATCTTGATGCGGTTTTTTTACTAGATAGAATGATTCAAGAGGAAGGTTTATATGTATGTCGCAGAATCATAATATGGCACAATTATTTGATTACAAAACCATCTATTGGAGACTCTTGGAAACGTCAAATAATACGATTGAGTAAAGTCGATGCAGGAAGTGAGAGAACGGATTTGACGGCTATAAGTTGTGAAAGTCAATTCACCTGGTGTTTAGTGAATACCGCCACGCATGGACATCTGCTACACCCGAGGGTTACAGATAAGTTGGCAACCTTTTAAAGATTGGGCTCCAGCTACTTCACTCACCAGACGAAACGCGAAAGTATTTGTTATACTTCCACCCGGATGAGCCTGCCCATTCGTGCATCAGCTGAGGCTGCTGCGTGGCCCTACCACATTTACGTTCAATGCAACACACATTCCATGACGGCGAGTTATCCTATGTGGTCCACCTATCTCTGACATGTACCTGTTCGGTTTTTATTTTTTTATTCGGTGGTTCGTTAGTTTGATATATTTTTAAACCAAGAATCTTTGTGGGATCAGTGTGTGTGTGTGTGTGTGTGCTAATATGTGTTTTCCCAGATTTTCATTTTAATAAAAAGTTACTTTTTAATTTAAATATAAATGGGAACTGTAAAGATAGCTTCCAATAATTTAATTAAAAAAAAAAATAAAGTCGCAACAACTATCATACGGACAAGTTTCTGTAAATATACAATATTTACAGAATTTGTGAATATTAATTACTAATATTTTTTTATAATTGTAATTCAGTCTAGAATAATAATTATTCTATCGTCAAATATTTGGGACAGCAAAGTGATGATGATGATTCCAATGATGATTTATCCTGTGTAGTGTAATAACTTCCACAAACAAGTGGACAGTAGAATAATTTTGATCAAAAAGAAACCGACCTCAAACAGGAAACTAAGAACATTGTCAACACCATTTGAGGATTGTCCTCGATTTCTCTTGGATGCCATCATCAGATGTTTCCTTAACATGGTACTACTCTTGGGATATCGCCTTTCCAACAAAAAAAGAATCATCAAAATCGGTTCATAAATGACGAAGTTATCCGCGAACACCCATAAAAAAAAATAAAGTAAAAAAAATATATACGGTCAAATTGAGAAACCTCCTTCTTTTTTGATGTCGGTTAATTAGTAATGGTAAATCTAAAACTTTGTTTCCTCGGTATTGAAAATTAATTAAAGTAAAAAAAGGACTTGACCTTTTTGACAGAGCAATTGAACCGAAGGTAAAAATTTTTTACTTTCGAATAAAATAACGGAAAAGGAAAATTTAAAGGAACTTCTATTTTTACTGTGTTTTTACTGCAGAATCATTTTGTTCTTATAGACAAGACATATCCATGACATTTCATGACTCCGTGGCGCAGTTGCCAAGGTTTTGACTTCGGCGTCGGGGGTCGGGATTCGATCCCGACACGGGACAACTCTTTTTTTCCTTTGTTGTTGTCTGTTGTTTCGCATCTGGATGTTTGTGCATCGAGAAATTTATGTTTGTAAAACATAAATTGCTTAATTAATAAGATGCTTGCGAAACTTTACAATAATATGGTTTATACAACAGTATAGCACGTATGCTATAATTTATAAAGATACAAGAGTCTAAGAGTAACTATGCGTCTGTTACGCCTTCACGACTAAACCGCAAAACCTATTCTGATGATAATTATTTGTATACAGATAGATAGGACCTTGAAGAAGAAATTAAGCTACTCGAAGCACTAATTCTGCGCCGAATTAGATTAAGGAAACTTGTTATTGCCTAAACATGTATTAAATATTTAGGCTAATAGACAATTAATACCACAGATTATAAGATCGTTTGCCCATATTGATAAGTTCCTTAAGTCTTCTGTTTTCTTTTTATCTGTGTTCAGGTGACATTCACGAGTTGCCAAGGATTGATACGTAAACCAATCACTCGAGGCTATACTTTAAGTTCATTAGTAGCAGAGAATTTGATAATTGGTCCAATATGTTTTTTATTAATAAATATGTGTTGACTAAGAAGAGAAAGCCAACATAGATTCTAAAAAGCTTGGCATCCTGAGTTGAGCTAAGCAGAATTTCTGCCATCCCATGGTTTACTGTGCTGCTTCACGACCACACATGGATGCTGTTCTCATCTCTGGGCGTGAGCGCCCCAAGCCAGCTCCTTCCATTTGACCAAATCCTTTGTAGAGCCATTCGAATATTCGGCGACCAGTTCTCGATTCCAATTGTCTCAATTTGTCCTTTTGCCATACGAGAGACGTTTCATGTCTTTGTATTTTTTATCGCATC